GCACCAGGCTTCCTCCCCCTAGCGACTAGCCTCCTTGCAGTTTCTTCAGCCCAGGAACACAACTTGCTTCATAGCCAGGTGCAAACATTTTACAGTTTAACCAAATGTCTGTGAAGTGTTTTCCCATGCCTCATCTCATTTGATCCTCACAAAAGTCCTGGAGTAGGTAGATAGGAGACTCGGTGGAATGCTATTTTCTTTTCATTAGCCGGAAAACGGAGATTTAGAAAGCTTAGAAACTTGACCCTACTGAAAAGAAGTAAGAAATGGTGGACCTTGAAAGTCACTTAAGGTTTTCTCACTGTGCAGAATATAGTCAAACACTGCTGCAGTTAAATATTTTACCCTTTGTTCTCCCTGTGTGATCGACAATAATAATGTGCTTCATGTTGATATTTACTGCTGTATTGCTGACAATTACCTGAAAGAGAAGTTGGTGTGCTTCACTGGAATGGAAAAAGTTTAGCTAAATCAGAAAGCAGGTCTAATTAAGCAAGTTTATCTATATATATAAAGCTCTCGCTGGCACCAATCACACGTGTGTGTTTCGATCTGTCATCGTTAATTGGGTTGACACTTCTATTATAATAGAGAAAGGGCGAATAGCGATATTAAAATATTTCTTCTAATTAATTTACTTTCAATGTGCATGAATTCGTGCACCAGGCCACTAGTATAACTATATTTGACAAATACTCTGTTTATTTTTTTAATAATCCTTTAAAAATGTGAAAGCCATTCTGAGCTAGGGGCATCACAAAAACAGGCCTCAAGCTAGATTACCTCCACTCCCCTCATGCCCCTCCCACCATAGTTTGCCAACCTCTGCCTAGAGGGACTAAGTGACAAGGCAGCTGGCTTCAAAATGGGCAGGCAGAAATGTTTAGCAGTAAAGCAAGCTTTGAATTCCAAGCCATCTTTAGGCAGAATCTAGAAGCCCAACTAATTGAGTCATGACAAAGACAGTCTCTGTAGTAATCAGTGCTTACACTATAATAGCTAACAAGGTATTTATTTATTTTACGAATGCATTCATTTTACAAATATTTGAGTATGTTTTCTGGGACACCTATGATGCAGTGTTAGGAACTATTGATATAAATAGATATTATTCCTGCCTGAGTAAGATTTTTAGTCTAATGGAGTAGCATTCAAGTCAGCAAGCCATGTGCTAAGCACTCTGCTAGAGGAGGACAGGGTGCTGAGGGAGCACATGGGAAGAGTTAACCCTCACAATATCTTTATTCCCGAATGGAAGAAGTGAGACCAAAGTTTGAGTGGGAGTTAGCCAGACTTGGAGGGGAGGAGTGAGAGAGAAGAGGTAGCAGGAATAGCATGTGCAAAGGCCCTGAGGTGAGAAAGCTTGGCTTGTTCTTGGGTGGGATGCCATCTGATTGGAGTAGTGCTTTCCAAATATTAATGGGCATGTGTATTGCCTGGGGCTTTTGTTAAAATGCAGATTCTGGGGCAGTAGTCCTGGAGGTGAGGCCAGATTCTGCATTTCTAACACGCTCCCAGGGGATGCTGATGCTTCTGGTCCATGAGCCCCTGATAGCAGGGCTGTGGATGTATTAGGGTGTGTGAGAAATGAGCCCATGAGGTGGGCAGGATCCAGATTGGGCAGGGCCTCATGAGCCATGTTTGAGAGTTTGGGCCTTAGGAAGCCAGCCTAGTCACGCCTTAATTTACATGGGAAAATCCCCAGCTCCCTTCACCTTTTTCCTCCCAGCCCCACAACGCACCTCCTCTCTGACAGCTGTCAGTCTGTTCTCTGTCGGGTCTGTTTCTATTTCGTTTCTTGGTTTATTTTGTCCATGAGATTCTACATATGAATGAAATTATAAAGGTGAAAGGATTAAGCAAACAAACAGACAAAACCAAAACATAGACACAGATGACAGCATGGTAATTACCAGAGGGGAAGGAGGGAAGGAGGAGGTAGGAGAGAGCATAGGGGATAAATGGTGATTGAAGGAGACTGACTCGGGGTGATGAACAGAATAGTATGCAGGTGAAGTATTTTAGAATTGAACACCTGAAACCTATATAATTTTGTTAACCAATGTCAGCCCAATAAATTCAATAAAAATAAGTAAGTAAATAAATAAGAAAGAAAAAGAGTTTGGGCTTCATGATGAGAGCAGTAAAGAGTCATCCAAGGGTTTCAATCAGATAAAAATGTTTTCATTAGATGTGTGTGTGTGAGAAAATTAGCTGTGGTTACCGTATGGGAAATGGGTTGGGGTGATGAGCAGCAGAGAACCTAGGAATGACTGAATCTTTTTAATTAAGGTGCTGTGTGGAGTGAGGAGGAAGGCCCTGTTAATGGTGACAGTGACCTCCAGGTTCCTGGCTTGGGTGGTAGTGTTGATGGCATTGACAGTCCATGGAAGGGGAAATGTGGGTGGGGCCTCAGGTTTGTAGGGGAAAATGACAAATTCGGTTTAGAATGTGCTGAGATGAGTGTTCCATGGGGCATCCATATGGAGAAATTTGTAGCCATTTTTACTACACAGGCCTATGTGGCTGGGGAGGCTTGGCTTCTAATGGTTTATAGGTTAATGAACATTTCTTCTTTCAGGTCTTTGCTCGAGAAGGGAATGTGCCCAATATTATCATTGCTGTGAGTACTCAGTCCTGGCCCTGGTGATGTCTTGAAGTCTCATTTTCACTTCCCTCTTGAGTGCTTTCTTGTGCACAGAGCTCCTCCTCAGAGAGTCCAGTTACCAGCAGAGCCCTGACATTGCCCTCTGCAAAAGAAAACATTTCCCCAAAATTGGTCAGGAGGCTTGTGGGTTGGGGCGGAGGGCTCGAGGGGGAGGTGAGTGTGAAAAGTGGTGAACGTCCATCAGGAGCAATGGTAAGTTCATTCTGCTGGCTCGGAGCACTCATTGGAGATCTCATTCCTAGGGCCCCCCAGGAACTGGCAAAACTACAAGCATCCTGTGTTTGGCACGAGCCCTTCTGGGCCCAGCTCTCAAGGATGCTGTTTTGGAACTCAATGCCTCAAATGACAGGTACGTCTGGGAGTTAGGATTGAAGGGCAGCAAGTGTTTTGCATCGTGAATTGTTATAGAAATGGCCTTTTTTCCGTTCTGTGTTGTATGTGGAGCTTGCCTAGCCAGCTTTATGTTTTCCTTTAATCCTTCCCAGTGAAATAGAATGGGAATTGCTGGCTCATCAAGGTGGCATCATAGGCACTAGACTTGATGGCTTAACTTTGTTAATGGAAATTTTAAATATTTTTAATTGTGGTAAAATACACAATATAAAATTTACCATCTTGCTCATTTTATTTTTAATCCTCCCCCATATTTTCATTGATTTTGTGAGAGAGAGAGAGAGAGCGAGAGAGAGAGGGAGGAATGTCGCTGTGAGAGAGAAACATCGATTGGTTGCCTCTCATATGCGCCCTGATTGGGGATTGAACCCGCAACCTAGGTGTGTGCCCTGAATGGGAATCGATCCGCAGCCATTTGTTGTATGGGGTGACGCTCCAACCAATTGAGCGACAGGCCAGGGCCAGCTTACTCATTTTTAAGTGCACAGTTCAGTAGGGTTAAATATATTCACATTGTTGTGTAGCCGATGATCTCCAGAACTTTTTTGTCTTCCACAACTAAAACTCTGTACCATCCCCCTCCCTCTGCCCCTGGCAACCACCATTCTACTTTCTGTATCTATGAACTTGATTTTATTGTAGATGCCTCATCTGAGTGGTTTCATACAGTATTTGTTTTTCTGTGGCTGGCTTATTTCACTTAGCATATGTCCTCATGATTCACCCAAGGAGCCAAACTCTAGCATCTGTCAGACTCTTTCCTTTTTAAGACTGAGTAATATCCCTTTGTAAGGATAGACCACCACGGTTTGCTTATTCATTCATCCGCTGATGGATGCTTGGGCTTCTTTCATCTTTTGGACATTTGTGAATTGTGAAAATGCTGCTATGACATGGGTGTATAAATATCTCTTTAAGACCCTGCTTTTAATTCTTTTGGATATATACTTAGAATTGCTAGATTATACTTGGTAATTCTGTGTTTAATTTTGGGGGGACCTCCATGCTGTTTTTCATAGTGGCTGCACCCTTTTACATTCCCACCAACAGTGTTCAGGGTTCCAATTTCTCCACATGCTCGCCGACACATTTTTTGGTTTGTTGTTGTTAATGGTATGAAGTGCTGGTTTACTTTTCAGACATGAAATAGAGGATTATGAAATGAGGACTTGTTAAATAAAAAGTCTGCGAAGTCTATCTTTGGTTATTCCTTGAGGATGCAGATCTCAGCTCTTTAATATTGTCCTAATTTTGAAGATCTATGTAGACTTGAAACAGGCAATGTTCTTGGGATGCAACTAACGGCTCTTCAGCTGTCATGAATGAGTCTGTAATCAATCCATTTTGTCAATGCTGATTCTTACTACCTCTTCTCACACTTACATCATCAAACTCATTTTTGAAAACTTTAGTGACTCATAATTTTGTTGAAGAAAGAATAGCCCATAATTGCAAGATATTTTTAATTTTAGGTTTATAAAAACCTATTTGAATGATCAATACAATGACTTTTTTGCATTTCTATATTACCTTTGTATACAAACCAGCCTTCAGCTTTTGATCACTTACAAACTGTACCCTGTAAATGTTGGTATACAAACATAAAAGATGAAAGAGTGCTGTCATATATTCTTTTATCAAAACAGAAGGTCCAAATTCGTATCATAGGATATTGGGGAATGAAGTCCTTCCTGTTGAGTGACCAGATGAAAATATATTTAGTGTTTGTCCTTATTTAACATTTATATACCTAATGGAGTGATCTCCATGGTAAGTCTAATCACCATCTGACACTGTACAGTATTATTGACTATACTAGAGACCCGGTACACAATAATTTGTGCACTCGGGGGTGGGGGGGTCCCTCAGCCCGGCTTGTGCCCATTCACAGTCCAGGACCCCTTGGGGGATGTCCACCTGTCTACTTAGGATCACTCCCCAGGGTTATCAGGCCTAAGCTTGCAGTCAGACATCCTTCTGGCAGCCAGGGAGCCGTCGGGGGATGTCCGACTAAAGGCTTAGGCCCCCAAGGGATCAGGCCTAAACCGTTAGTTGGACATTCTTAGTGCTGCCACAGAGGTGGGAGAGGCTCCTGCCACCACCTCCACACTGGCCAGCCATGAGCCAGCTTCTGGCTGAGTGGCACTACTCCTCGGTCTGACCTAAACCCTAGCGATTAGTACTTCATTTTACAACTTTTTCTCGGTTTATAGGCAGCAGAACAGTGAGACCAC